TAAAGACTAACAAGCCAATCTTCTGACTCATCTTCAAGGTCATAGATGTGGTTCTAGAAAGTAGACACAGTTTATTTTATCAGTATAATGTAATCATTCTTAAGTTTTGTTCAAAGGATCTCCACAGTATGTAGTGGAAAAGGAATCTGGTCTCTTGTGTGAGGTGAGGGGTGGAGCCTGAGGTGGGAGGCTGGGTAGGATGCTGGTCTTGAATTCTTCCTGTTCCTAGCGTTTGTGGCTGACTAAAGAGACTGTGTGTGTTTGCTTCTACAGAGTTCTAATACCTCTAGTAACCTCTAATAACCTCACACAGGCTGTGGCCCTCCCTTCTCCAGGGAAGAGAGCTAAAATGCACAGAGGCTGAGGAACCTGCTACACACTCCACACAGCCCCTAAACTTGTGATCAGCCAAAGCCAACTGAACAGTCTGGCCCCTGCCCTGGTCCTGAGGGAGGAAGGTTGGCAGATCAGAAGGGTTACCAGGTGGCTATGGTGGCTCACAACTGTGGGTCTGGGGCAGTGAATAAAGAGACAGGTGACTCAACCTTTAGCTGAATGCAGGGAAACTCTGAAGCAACTCACTAAGACAAAGGGCAGCAGAACTGAGCCCAGCTAAATGTAACTCCCTACTAGTGGTAGGGTACTTATGAGCTGGCCTCTTCTGAAACTTGGTCTTTTGAGACAGAGTGCCTTGTTGCCCAGGTGGGCCTTGAACTCCTTCCTCTTCCTTCTTCCTCTTCCTCCTTCCTCTGCCTCCCCAGTGCTGGGAATCCCGAAGCGTTGTGTCTTATTACCATCCAAGCTCTTCCAAGTTGTGGTGTCTTGTTATCTGTTCCATTGGCTGCTCCTTGCCACGAGGCTCCCGGCTCTCCGTGCAGGGCCCGCAGCTCAATCCCATGTGTACAACAAAAGTTTGAGACATGACTACATCGAAACTTTCTGTAAAGTACAAGTGACCTCTTCCATAAAGATGGATCCTATAGATTAACTGAGAAAATAAGCTCAAGTTAAGGCCCCCAGGGAGGATCTGGTGTGGTCTCTGCTTACACAGGGAACAAAAAGGTCACAAAGCTATTAACCACATCTGCTTCCCAGGCAGAAGGCAGGTTACATCGCTCCCTTTGAAGAGACAAACACGCATGTTTAACATTCCTGGTTCTGTTGGTGCTCATCTGTGAGCACAAGGACTTCCATGCCACCTAAGTAGTTCAACAAAGACTGTCTCATACCAGCAAGTTTGGAAATCCACAGGACTAGAAGTCTCAGCAGTCCCAGGCTGTCACTAGCTGGTCTTCGGTCTACATTGGAAGTTTGAAGAAGCTGGTTCTCACACTGGCAAAGGAATGGCACAGCCAAGATTAGTCATCATAGTTGGTCATGGGCACAGGAACTCCCAGAATTCTTTATGGGCCTTTCCCTTAAGTTTATCGTGTCATCCTACCTATCCATAAGCCCACATCTTCTTAGAAAGGAATTGAAAGAGTGTGCCATCCCATGCTACTTGGGTTGAGTCCAGAGTGGTGATCACAGCTCCTGGTCATCTCTATACCCACTTAGTCTCAGCTCCAGTCATGAGCTTGCTAAACTAGCCTGGTTGCTGGGGAGGACATCTACCTCTTCCTGCCTTCATGACTTAGTGACACGGCCCCGTTCTTGTCATATCTTGTCACCTCTCCTCTGCACATCACTTTACTAGCTGTGTTGCCAAACACTTGAGATTGGAGGACATAGTTCACTTGGTAATTTGATGTAACACCGTCCCTAGGATTTTATTTTAATTGGGAAAGAAAATCATCCGTGGAGCCAATCACCATTTTTACTGTGTCCTGAATCCATGCATTCTGTAGGAGCTGAGAACAAGGATGAATAAGAGAAATGTCTTTATCTGTGAAGAGACACTACTCTGCAGCCCAACAGAAGTCAAGGACCAGTGACTCAGACTCACCATCGGTTGCCATGGCTGGGTACAGATGGGAAGGTTGAGTACAAACTAGTTAATAACTGAGGAGGAAGAGCAAGGCAGAGTGGAGCTGCACGAGCCGGAGACAGGAGACAAAGGCTGCTCAAGACAAGAAGTATGAGAGGGGCTGGAGAAATGCTTCTGAGTTTAAGGGGACCAAGGTTCACTTCACCAGCCACATGGTGGCTCACCACCATCTGACACTCCAGTTAGGCCCGAATCTGATGCTCTTTTCTGGCCTCTGCATGCGCTATTCATGCATGTAGTATTCAGACATACACATAGGCAAAACAGTCATGCATTAAATGAACAAAGTAATTAATTAAAAATGATGGGGTATGTTGTCATAGGGTTGTTAGTGTTGGATGTGGCACTTTAAATAACAATGGTCCTCATAGGTTCAAATATTTGAATACTTGGCCCCTGGTTAGTGGAACTGTTTGGGAAAGATCTCTCTCTCTCTCTCTCTCTCTCTCTCTCTCTCTCTCTCTCTCTCTGCCTGGTGGCTATGGATCAAGATGCTCCTTCACTGTGTTATCATGGACTCTAACTCTCTAAAGCTGTAAGTCTAGTTAAACGCTTTCTTGTATAAGTTGCCTTGCTCATGGTGCTTTATCATAGCAGTAGAAAAGTAATGCATACAGTTAGAGTAGTTCAGTTGTAAAAATAGAATTCTTATGAGGTTATACAGCTATCCCTGCTCAAGTAGCTTTCAGTGGGTCAGCCGATCTCCTGTAGCCTGTCCGGATGCAACAGGCAAAACTAGGAAAGGGGAAACTGAAAGGTTCGCACATAGGCCCTCACATCTGTCCTGTTCCCCAAATGCCACACTCCCTATATAAACTCCACAGGTTTCTCTGGTTCTTGCAAGCACCTCTTTCCCACAGGAGAGGGGCCGCCCTTCGATGTTTTGAAATAAGTAATATCTTCTGTTGAGATCAGGCTAGACATTTGCTGCCTCCTGTCTCTTTAAGCTGCCTCAGAAATGTAACAAATATGCTATGATAAATCAACATGACTAAAAACAACCTGGGGAGGAAGGGTTGATTCGCACTGTGTATACTTGGACATCACAGTCTATCACTGAGGGAAGCCAGAGCAGGATGGGGATCTGGATGCAGGAAGAGGCCTTAGAGGAGTGTCGCTTAATAGTCGCCTCCATGACTTAGCTGGCCTGCTTTTTGCTCTCGGTGCTACCTCCCAGGATAGCAACTACAATGGTCTGGACACTTCCAGATGAATCACTAGGTCTGAAGGGCCAGTTGTAAGGATGTATTTTCTCAACTGAGAGTCCCTCTTTAACAACACTTTGTGTCTGAGAGGTTACTGGGCCTCACAGGGAGCCATTGTGGTTTAGATACAAAGTGTCCCCCCCAAAAAACAATAACAAAAAAACTTCATGAGTTGGGGGGGGGGTTGGTCAACAGGTGTTGGCACCACTTTGGAAAGTTCTGAAACTTGAGAAGATGGAAGAAGCAGGGCACCAGAACATATTTGGTGGTGGTGGGGGGGGGGTTCACTCCTCACCTCTTTCTGTATTTTTATCTGTATCCTACCCATCATGAAGTGATGAGCCTACCTCTATCATCTGTCACTGCTAAGCAACTAAAGCTGAACCCCGCGAAACCCTGAGACAAACTAGATTCTCCTTCATTTAAATTGTTCTTCTTTTTTTTTTTTTTTTTAGGTTTTTCGAGACAGGGTTTCTCTGTGTAGCCCTGGCTGTCCTGAAACTCACTCTGTAGACCAGGCTAGCCTCGAACTCAGAAATCCGCCTGCCTCTGCCTCCCAAGTGCTGGGATTAAAGGCGTGCACCACCACTGCCCGGCTTAAGTTGTTCTTTTAAGCACAGTATTGTTTTGTTTTTTAATTATATTACCTTTTTTCTTTTACACGTGTGAATATTTTGTCGGGCTGTATATTGGTGCACTATATGCATGTCTCCTGCCCAGAGAGACAGAAGAAAGCACTGGATTTCCTCAGGCTGGAGTTACAGATGGCTATGAGCCCCAGTACCTGTGTTAGAAATTGAACCCAGTTCTTCTGAAAGAGCAGCCAGTACAGTGCTCTTAACCACTGAGCCAACTCTCCAGCCCATTGTTTGTTGAGTCTTGAGAAATCTGGGAAATCATGACATGATATAGAAATGAATACTCTTTGTTTTCAGACAGAGTTCCCTTGTAGTGCAGAACGTTCTCAGACTCGCTCAGTAGTTGAGGGCGCCCCTGAACTCTGATCCTCTTACCATTACCTTCTGAGTGGAAACTATTGTGTCTGCTGTAAAGCTAATTTAAAAAATTAAACTAATTACTATTAGGATTACTGGGTATGTGTGCATGACCTGTTCATGCCCTTGTGTGGAATTTGAAGGACAATTTTGTAGAGTTGGCTTTCTGGCCACCTTCACTGGTGTCTGGGCATAGAATTCGGGCATGGAGCTCAGGTCACCAGGCGTGGCCAGATGATCTTTTACCCATGGAGTCACCTCACAGGTTTGTAAAGCTGTTCTTTATTCAGAACAGACAATTAACTAGAAAAGGCTACTAGATTGAGCCTGAACCCTAACATAATTTTTGAAAAAAGGGAATGTGTCTGGGACAGAACATTTCCTCTTCTTACACATTGTGTATTGGGTATATCTGTCCCCAATTACACAGAGTCCCTGGAGGCTCAGAACTTTCCACTGTCCTTTTGGTCTCTATGACAATGCACCTGGTGGCTCCAGAGGAAACACAGGTGACATGTGGAGCAGGCGCTAGGCAATGTTGGGGGAGAATTGTTAGCTGCAGAACCACCCAGGTACTCCATGGACATTGACGCCTGAGCTTTGCTTTGCAGCCAGGCTGCCTGAGTTCCCACCTCTTTAGGAAACTTCTAGAGATCCTGCAGCTCTGGATGCAGCAGGGTCCTGGTGGCTGTGGCTAAGCACAGAATTGGGAAGTTCCTCCGGGACTCCACTTCCAATGATTCTTAAGCTTCCTGTGCTCTAAAAGGGCACAACTCAGGCAAGGAGCATCCGATCCAGCCAGCCCCTGGCCTCATGCAGCCCTTCAGCATCCCGGTCCAAATCACACTACAGGGTGGCCGGAGGCGCCAAGGGAGGTAAGTCTTCACCTGATTTGCCCATCAGTGTGCATCCTGCTGAACAGGGCCAGTGCAGCTACAACACAGCATGCTGAAAGCTTAGTTCAGTAGGTGCTTCGAAGAGGCCAAATTGCAATGCCTCCCGGGTACCCCGACCACGCATCCCCACCTTGCCCTCCCCTTTGGTTGCTGTTTTGAGACAGGCTCTCATGTAGCCCAGGCTGGCCTCAAGTTCTCTATTCACTTAGGAATGAGCCTCTGCCTCCTGCTCTCCAATGCTGGGATTGCAGGTGTGGACCACTGTACCTGGATGCATAGGTGACACAGGCAGTGTGGGCTGAGGTCCCAGCACTCAGAGCAGTGCCCAGCACTATATCTTTCGTATGAAGGAGCAAAGAAATGACACTAGCCTTGGGTCCTATTGCTGAATCCTTAGTGGTCCAGACTAAGAGCCAGGTTCCAGCTCCTCACCTAGGCAGTTGTATGACTCTGGATCTTTGCCCCCTCATCTTATCTTGAAATAGAGATGCTTATCTTTGTTTGCCCTAGCACACTGGTGTCTTCCTGGAACTCTCTAAACTAGATAGGTCTGCATGTTTTATGTACATTTATTATTATTATTTTGGGTTGCTTTGCTTTGGCTTTGTTGTTGTTGTTTCAGACAGTATTTCATGTAGCTCGGGCTGACTGACAACTTGCTATGTACTTGACGCTGACTTTGAACTCCTGATCTTCCTGCCAATACTTCCCAAGTGTAGAGATTACTGGTGTTAACTACCTAGCTGTACCAAATAAGTAGGAAGTGAAAAAGATTATTTTAGGACCCTTCTCCTCAAGGGTATGCAAAGCAGAGAATTTTGAGGTTCTCAGGGAACTGGGGCCTCAAATTTCTGTGCTAGGGTTGGGGCAGCAGGGCAATCAGAATGGTCAGAGGAGAGGTGAGCCATGCCAGGCATTTGACATAAGATATTAGAGATGTTCTGGCATGTTCTTGGGAGGGGGACACCTTGAAGCCAGGTTCTCCCACTACAGAAAACTTGAATGGCTTGTTAGTACTATAAACAGAACTGGGAGCTGGGTACCCACTAATCTCCAGTTTTAACTACCTTCCTGGGTATTTGGTTTAGGGCATGAAGGAGAAGGAGAGGCATTGGATGGATTGGGAGTGGGTTCCAGGTTGGTAGAAGGGTCAGACCACAAAGTAGAGAGACTCTCCTAGCTATGAACTAATGCTTCTGTGAGCAGACAATCACAGTGAGTCGCTTTGTGGCAGGAGACCGAATAGCAACCAAATCAGCAAGTGAAAGTGAAGATGCTCCTTATAACACAAACAGGATGGAAGACAGTCCAGCCTGTCCCCAACGCACCCCTAGTCCCACCTTCCTTCCTGAGATGCAGAGTTGGATAGCTTCTCATTGCTCCCACCCTGAACTTGGTAGTCTTTTTATCAGCCTCATTTTCTGTTTCGAAAAAAAGTTGCTAAGCAATTTTGTTTTTAAAAAAAAAAAAAACCCAAATACCCAGAAAGGTTTGACCAAAACCTCCTTTCAACGGAAACAAACTTCAGGAAGGTAGTAGTTGAATACGCATGTGCAGCATCGCGCTCATGCTGAATACGCATGCGCAGCGTCACACTAGTACTTGGGGATCCTCATTAGGTGAATTGTGATGTGTGGCTGAGCTTCCGAGAGTTCTTGCACAGTTCAGTTATCAAAGGGCAGGGCTGCTGGTTTCTGTCCCGACCACACCCGGGCAAGCTGTGGAGCTAGAGCTAGCCTGTTCGTGCTGTTAGCAACTTAGTTTGCCTCAGCCTGAGAAGGTGGCATGGGAGTTTCTGCTATGCTCGAATCTGATTGGAAAATCACTCTCTGCAGGAGGACAGGGCAAGGAGGACTGAGCAGGGAGGATTGGGCAGGGGGAACTTTGGAGGGAGGACAGGACAGAGAGGACAGGGCAGGGAGCACTGGGAAGGGAGGACCAAGCAAAGAAGACAGGGAAGGGAGGACAAGGCACAGAGGTCACTGGTTAATGTCTCCAGGACATCAATATTCCTGGTGAAAAATATAATTAAAATGCTATTGACTCATCTCCCTGACTAGAGATTGAGTCTGGTCACTAAGCTTCTTCTTCTGCCTCATCTCTCATTTTCTTTTTTGAGACAGTGTCTTGCTATGTACTGTGTTCTGTGATGTCTGAGTGTGTACACACACTCCTCAGAACTCTGTGATGTTTTCCAGAACAAGCCTGGGACAGACTCCTCTACTGAGGCCTTGTTGGCTTTTCCAGGTGTCAGAGGAGACAATGTTAAACTTACTTCTTGGTTTGAAGTCCTAGCATTTGGGGTAGTATGGCATCCAACTATAGACTCCAGCAATGTGCTGGCTCATGTCTATAGTCCCAGCACTTAGGAGGCTGAGGCAGAAGGATCAGAAGTTCAAGACCAGCCCTATTATAGAGGAAGATGATGTCTCAACCACACAACTACACAACTACACAGAACCAGAACACCAAGTGTCAACTCCCTGAGGACTGCCACAAGGTTGTAAAATTCCAGGGGCATTTGGAATTTCCTTTCTCTTCCCAGCATCCTGTTATAGAAAGGATTCTTCTTAGGCCCTTTGGGGTCCAGGCTCCCCCTGAATGGTATATTAATCTATACTTGGCTAGACCTGGGTATGACCTCCAACTCTGTCACTGTACAAACCTGAGAGACAGAAGGTGAAACTTTAATCTGCCTTTTGCAATTAGTGCTTTTTCTTTTTTTAAATAAAACACAATTTTGCCCAGCCTTAAACTCATAGTCTTTCTGTCTTTGCTTCTGGCACCATGCCAAGGCTAGGCTTCTGGTTCTCAGGTACGTTTAGTCCTTTGCGGGCTTGTTTGTTTGTTTGTTTGTTTGTATTCTCTTTATTTTAAGCCTACTCTGCATTGACAATGTGCTCGGTTGGGGTGGGGAGGCGGTATGCTACACAGCTGAAGCAGAAGCCCGTCACTTCTACAGTCTTAAGATCATGAGCATGTTGACGGCAGATGGTTCTACTTCCTCCTCCACCTGCCAGCCCCCGTGTGTGCTGCAGAAACTACTCTTTCTAAAGAGAATTTCTATGCAGATTTCCAATGACATTAGTTATCACTTTCTCTGTGGAATCACCTCCTCACAGTGGAGGCTGACTGTTGGGCTCCCGCAAACACTTGCTATAAAGTGGGAAGAAATAGAAGAGATAGCATGACTGGCCCAGGGTACTCCTGCTTCTACTCATGACTCACCTCAGAGTCTGATGAGTCGGCCATTTTTCCTGCAGCTGGCCACGTAAGTCAGATGCAAGAAATGAGTATAAAAGCACCACAGTCTAGGGAGACGACTCATGTGGTACATTGCTTACCTGAATGCAAGAGGACCCATGCTTGATCCTTCAGAACACACACAGAAAGCCGTCAGACACTGGTGGAGGCTGAGGTAGGAGGAGGTCTGGGCTTGCTGGTTAGTTGGCCTAGCTTAACTGAGGAGCCTCAGCACAGCCCACTGAGAGACCATGTGTGAAAAAAAAGTGGAGTGGGCTGGAGAGAGAGCGCAATGGGTAAAGAACTTGCAGCATAAGTGTGAGGACAGGTGGCCAACCCCTTAGAACCCACAGTAAAAAAAAAAAAAAAAAAAAAAAAAAGCTGGGTTCAGTGGCCAGTGCCCGTTACCTCAATGCTTTAACAGTGAAACGGGCACAGAGCCAGGAGAGTCTCCAAAGGCTCCTAGTCTAGCACATGTAGTAGTCAAAAGAGAGACTGTGTTCTGATCTTCTGATTCCATATGGAAGTGTGCACCAAAATGGTGTGTGCATGTACACACACACCAATTTAAGAAATTAAAACTTCCCAAGAAGGGCTAGCAAAGTGCTCAGTGGGAAAGGGTGCTTACTCTCACATCCGATACCTTGAGTTCAGTTCCCAGAACCCACATGGTGGAAGGAAGGAAGTGACCTTGCAAGGTGTCCTCTGACTTCCACACAAGAGCCACAGTGTGTATGCAAACCAATCCTCATCACTCAGAATAAATAAATGCACCGCCCCACCCTCAAGTATCCCTTTCAAGCAAGTCTTGCTGGGTTCCCGTTAGCCATAGAGAGTAGATTCCCTTCTCAGTACTCCCTTCATGAAGAGGGAAGATTCTCCACTGTGGTAACCACAGCCTGAGATGCCAGAGGAGAGAAGGCAGAAAATGAGATCAAGTACGGAGTATGCTTTTGGAAAGCAAAGCAAAACAAAATACAACTAGCAATTCCTGCGGCGGGGCTTTCGCTCGGCTCAGAATTTCATAAGCGTTCTCAGCAGACTGACCTGAGTTTCCACACTTGGAGCTGCATTTCTTTGGCTTATGATTTTTCTGAAACCTCTTAAAATGAAAAGACTGATGGAAATAAATAGCCGCTGACCTGGGGAAGCAGAGGAGCCACCGTGGCAATTGGAGGACACAGACTTGATCACAGGGAAGCCAGCATGGCTCCGGCAGCTTGTCCACAAGTAGGAACGTGGATCTTGTGATGTTTTCAAAGGGCAGAAATAAGAATTTTAATGAGAACTGTCATTATTTGAAAGTGCTAGTAAACAATACCATCTTAGAAAAACCACTGAATGCCATGTGGCTGGATGGGGCCCATGGCTGCCATGGTGTGTGACCGTTGATGGCCTTCACCACTGAGCAGACACCTCTGTGAATGAACTCATCACAGCTCCTGGGAGAGGAGAGATGAAAGGAAGCAGAGTAGATGGATGGGAGACCCTGGTTTGTTTGCAGATGGAGGGATTGTGAGGGGAAGGAGAGGGACTTTAAACCTGTAGACCAGGTCAAGGGTCTCACTCAGGTGATGGGGAGGTAGGGGAGGGGTTGACAAAAAGAACATCCTCCTGTCCCAGGACATCGCCATTCATTCTAAACGTGGCTTCTCCGGTTGTGCTTTCCATTCAGAATTCATGAACATATGGAGAAATCACATTCAGAAAGGCCATAGAAATCACTGAAAGATGACCAGGTCCAGACCATGAATCATGTATAACAAATGAGCGCCATACCCAGACAATTCTGTCCTAGTCATGAATAGGCATCCTGAGATGTTACCAGGAACAGCAGTCTCTGCTTGGTACAGTTTCTCTCTTCCTCTCTCCCTTTCTTCTTTTAAAAAGTGAATTAAGAATTTTTATGTGTATGAGTACCTGTTTTTCTGTATGTGCACCTATGCATGCAGGTGTCTGTGGAGTCTAAGGTGCTGGGTTCTCTGATACTAGAGTTTTAGGAAGTTGTGAGCCTCCTGATGAGTGCCAGGAGCTGACACTGTCCCCTGCAAGAGCATATGTACTCTTAACAGCTAACCAGTCCCTCATCTCTCCTCCTCCTCCTCCTCCTCCTCCTCCTCCTCCTCCTCCTCCTCCTCCTCCTCTTCCTCCTCCTCCTTTTTTAAATTACAGGGTCTCAAGTAGCCTAGGTTGGTCTCAAACTCACTATGAAGCCCAGGCTGGCCTTGAACTCCTAGTCCCTCTGCCTTTATTTCCTGAATGCTGGGATCACAGACATACACCAGCATGTGTTCTGCAGGGAGAATAATCTAGCTATACTTTCAGTTTTAAATGAGTGAGTTTAATATACATGAAGTAGGTAGGCAAAGGTAAAAGAACGACACCAAGCAACAGGTAGACTGTAAACACCATTCCCTTGGGGGCTTGTGATATCCAGAAGAGGGGACAAAGGAAGCCTGCTCAAGGCAACATGCTGGAAGTTGAGCCTGAGAGGTTCCAGGTAGAGCAGAATTCTCTCCATGGATGTCAGGGATGAGCCTTCCAGCTTCTGGTTCCCACCAGACATTTTTATGTCATGAAACAAACAACAGTAACCTTTGGAAAGGTTTTACCTCTCAGCTGCTCAGGAATGCAATGTTCTTCATGTGTTTTCTGTGTATCTGTGGTATAAATGTGTGTGTTTGCACATATATGGGTGCATATGTGTAGAGGCACTAGAGTGATGTTCTGAATCATTGTGGCTGTGCTCAACCACAGCATTCATCGAGGCAGGGTCACTCAATCAAACCCAGGCTTACTGATATGGCTACTCCTACAGACAGCTTGCACTGGGATCACCACCATCACCACCCCTGTCCCAGCCTGGAATTATAGGCAACGGCCATTATTACATTATTATTATTACATTACTATCACTATTATTACATTATTATTATATCTGATCTACTCAGATATATCTGGGATCTAGAAATGGGAACTTGAGTTAACTCTTTATCTACCTACTACATTTCCCCAGTCCCAAGCTGTACTCTGGTTTTTATAGTCTAAGCGGTCTACCGTTCACCTTTCTCTCTGACACAGACTTAGGGACCAGCCTGACTAAGAATAATGAATCTTGGAGTGTATTTGATAAAAAACTAAACCAAACCAAACCACCACCACTGACCACAACAAAAACCTGGAGTCTGGGAGAAGGGAATTGTCCTTGCTCTCAGAGTCTATTTTCAAACCTTAAAACAACACACAATGATTTGACAACATAATATAAATATGCCACACTCCACTTTTTATGTCTTAAAAAATATTTGACTACAGAGTGAGTTCCAGGACAGCCAGGACTATACAGAGAAACCCTGTCTCAAAAAACAAAAAAAAATTGACAATGTATTATTTTAGTTTATTTTGATAGCACCCATCCTCAACTTGGAGCATGATATCTGAAGCAATGCTGGGAACCTGTGTATGACTCTCAGTGAACCAGACTCAGGTTTGGCACGAGCTAAATGCTAGAGCTCTCTTGAGCTCACACAGCATCCTTTCTGGCTTCCCCCAAAGGATAGCACTTCCGGCCTCAGGCAAAAGCCATGGAGATCCCCTGAAGGTGCACCCAAAGCTTCCATCAAGTGCTGGTGAGGACAGGGCCACGCTGCTGGGCATTGTCATGATGGCCTCCTCCGTGCTGATGTTCTTCCTGTTGGGGACCACTATGTTGAAGCCCTTCATGCTCAGGTAAGACACAGGCTAAGACCCAAAGCTCCCAGATGGGGCCAGCCCCCCACTGGAGTCCATTCCCCTGAGCACACCCTGGAGAGCTTGTGGGTCCGTACTGGAGACAGTGGTGGTAGAGGAAGTATGAAACAGTCCTTTGTTCCCTGATGTTCACAGTCCACAGATGCTTCTTGCCTGTTGAGATGGGTATGGTTGGTAGCAAAAAAGCACCCCTGCTAGGAAATTCCAGCTGGCTTATGTAGTACAACCAACTTGTACTACAGTTGCTTATCCCCAACTAGCTTACAAATAAGAGACTCCAACTATGGTTATTTTATTTGGCTTTTAAAATTACTGGGGTGGGGGAGGGGGGAAGGCACCTTTCTTTTCTACTTTTCTAACTGATGGCCTGGCTACCTTCCCAGCAGTGTACCTAAGATCCTTGCTGTTTCTCCTGGCCACGTGCTCATGGCCCATCTCTCCTCAGGGCAGCTTCCTCCTCTCTTCTTCTTCCTCTTTTCCCCTCGTCCTTACTCCTTTCCTCTCAGTCTCTCCTCACTTTTTTCTCTTCTCCAACCAGCTAACTCAAAACCCACTTACTTCTTTTTTTTTTTTTATTTTTATTTTTTTTTTATTGTATTTTTCTTTATTAATTTCTTTTTTTTTTTTGAACATGAAATGCTTTTTTTATAGCATGTTTTACAAGGGGAGGGGGTAAGAGGGTCCAGGTGGTGGAAAAGTACAAAATCTTCTTGGCCTGTGCCTTGAAACATGTCATGGTCTATACGGTACACTGCCTTGAATTATGATCTACCTGCAGTTCTTCAGAAGATATGGTACACTGCTTGAGTTATGGTCTCCCTGCTATTCTTAAGAAGACATGGTACTCTGCTTTGAGTCTATCTGCAGTTGCTAAGCAGGATCTTGCAGTTGCCAAGCTTCAGAGGACATTGTGCAGGTGGGGAAAGGTAGGGGGTAAGGGTAAGGGCGAGGGTCCTGGCTTCTGGCATCTCCCCCTTCTCTGTTTAGTTAGAGAAGGCGTCTTATGTTCAATCCCAACTATGTGAGTTTTGAATTTGGATGTCTAATTATGGGGGGTCTTAGACAAGTTCACAACCCCAAAACACTGATGTGAGACGAGTCACATCAATGGTCGAAGGCTTTAGGCTGTCGACGATGGGCAACGTCAAGGGACTCTGATGTGGGTGAAAGGAGGGTGAGGGCCCTGTCTTAGGCCATGTAGGCTGCACCCACTCCCAGCACCATAGGTCCACTTCCCAGGGGCCCACCCAATGCAGCCGAAAAGGAGTGCGTGGTGCTGGGAGTGGGTGCAGCCTACATGGCCTAAGACCCACTTACTTCTAATGCCTCCAGTAATTGGCTGTAGTCCATTTTATCTAACCAATAGTTTTAAATCAAGGATCAAAGTTTGCCCAACAAAAGCTTATAACTGTGAGGCCTAGAGGCATGGGTAGAATGTAGCATCATGATACAACAGAAAAAAAAAGATACAACAGACAAACCTCCACAGGCTTTCTCTCAGGTACCGCTACCAGGAACAACCTTCTGTGCTCCTGCTGAGCCTGGTTACTTACTTGCATCTACTTCCTCCCTAATTACTGTGGCTCCAAGGATGCCCAGAGCCTAGGTCATTCTCATCAACATGAGGGATTGTGTGACCTTCAGTTGGACATTTGTAGCTCTTCATTAGGGTTCCAGCTTTCTCCCCTTTTCCTATTAATTCTTTTTTCTCACCTTAAACAAACCACGAATGCATAGCCTGTGTCTATGTGTGAGCTGAAGAAATTTTACATACAAATCTGCACATATTCAGAGAGAGGGAGAGGTGTGGGAATGGGATGGAATGAGAGGAGAGAGGGGAAGAGAGGGGATGGAGGAAGAGAGAGAGAGCTGGCTAGCTACGCCATGGAACAACTTTGGGGAGTCAGTTCTCTTCCTCAACCATGTGGATCGCATGGCAGCAATACACGCTTGCTACTGGAGGCCAGAGGTGTCAGCTCTCCAATAGCTGGAGTTACAGGAGGTTTTGGCTGACTGATGAGTGCTGGGATTCAAACATGGGTCTTCTGCAAGTAGTGTGTGATCTGAATTACTGAGCCAACTCTCCAGCGCCCAGACTGCTTATTTAAACATGTGATGGATCAGGGACATGGTTGCAGGATCTCTGTTGTAAGTTCATGTCAATCAACCTGTGGCGCTCTCTCTCTCTCTCTCTCTCTCTCTCTCTCTCTCTCTCTCTCTCTC